GATCTTCCAGGGAAAATCCACATTGTTTGCAAAGGCTGGAGAGAAAGTGTGGTCGATTGAACACACTGTGATAGACAGGTCACATGTGATTGGTGCTGAAAGCTGGACGGGAGGGGACAGGCTGTTTTTTGGGTCGTGTTCGGGATTCGGCTTTTCCTCACGAGAGCAGCAGGGTGTGCTGTAGAGAGAAGGCAAGCAGGGAGGTGACATGGTCATGGGGGCCACAGTGTGCAGGACACGGAGTGAGGAAGCCGGTTCAGAGGGCCCTGCGGTCATCCTGACAACAAGTGGTGCCAGGCCCAGGACAGGGGTGGTGATGAGAGTGAGAGCTCAGAAACACCGAGAGACATTAGCAGGTGAAACCGAGGGATTTGATGATCACTTGGATAGGGTGGGGGTGCGGATGGATGAAGAAGGGAGCCAGCGCCAGGTGACGCTCGGGGTGCTGTCAGAGCTCTTGCTCCTTGCCACCTCGCACAAACGATGTCTCAAAGGTGGGAAGGGCCCGGCTAAGGGATCTCAGCGCCAGCAGCTCCGGAGCAAGGCAGTGACTTTCTGGTGGTTCTGACAATTATGCTGCCCAATGCATGTCTTCCCTGGCCACCCACCACCCTTCTGTAGACAAATGATAATTCGTACCTTACAGTATGTTGCTCTTTGAGACCCTTGGTAGTGAAACAGTCAGTGCCCCCACCCCTACACACACCCCCTCAGACTCACAGGTGACTGAGCTTACACTCACCTCTCCTGAGTTCTCATGTTCTCCCCAGAAACTTTGAGCAAACAGGACTTGTGCAGCCTTAGCCTTTTCCTTTCTCAAAAGAGAGAAGGCTTCCGTGTCGGAGTGGCACTGTTCTGACTTGGGAGGTCTGCCTGGGCCTTCGGTGCAGGCTCTGCCAGCGTTCATTGTAAGGCATTTGCTGGGGTCACACGGTGTCAGCCTCATCAGCACGGAGCTTGCGGCTGGAGGTGGAAGAGAACGCTGTCCACGCCGCCACCGTAAGGGAGTGGATGTTGGGCCTGGGAGCCGCTGGTCCTGCAACAACTCATCGCAAGTCAAATTAAGGGAATAATGCAGGCCTAGTAGATATTTAATGAGAGATTATTCCTGGAGATTATAAGGATACAGAAATTGCAAATAAATCCCTGACCTTTTCTGAGCCTTGGCTCAGTGAAAGAGCTGAATCACCTGCTCGAGGGGATTAAGGACAGCCGCTTCCATCTGGCAGGCCACTGAGACTTTCTGTCATTAGCAGGCTCTGCTGGTGCGGATGGTGATCTAAACCCTTTAGTGGGAGTTCTCCTCTCGGACTGGAGATCTCAATTAACCAAGATTATGTACCCAGTAGGAGAGATCAGGACTAACATCTGGCTCAGGGCTCACTGTCGTCCCCACCACGGTAGTGGTACTCGGTCCATGTTAAATAGTAAAGCAGTTGTTAATTATTAGTAACTCAGTCATGATGTCAGCAGGAAGCTCGAGTTGATGAGAATAGAAGTCAAACTGTGTGGTGGCGGTGGGGGAGAAGTGACAGTGAGAGATGGGGACCTGCCAGGCAGTGGTGGGGGTGGGGCAGGAGGAGAGGTGACTGGCAGTACACAAAATAGAACTTAGTTCTGGTTTGGAGATTTAGGCGTTGGTTGCTAAAATACATTTCATGTGTTCCTTGTTGAGGAAATTGATGTGGATTCCATTTCTTAAAATGCTTTTATTTGTATGTAGAACAGTAAATAATTACATCAGCATGCAGCTTGAATCCATTGGAGGTTAACAGAGTTCTCTTAAACTCTGAATGTTTGACTTTCCAGTTTGTAAATGCTACATACATTTGAACTCCAGCACCTGAGATATAGTGATAAAGACAAAATTACATGTGCAGTGTGTGAGGTCTTTGTCTTTGACGTCTGTGTAAGACATTTTACGAAAAGGGGATTGCATATCTCAAATTGCAGAACCTTTAGCATTGAGGAAACAAAAGGAATATTTATTCAGACATTGAATATAGAAGTTTGCTTTGCCATTTTCCCAAAAAAAAGGTGAAATCATAATTAATCTAAGTTGATGGAATTCTTATTGCTATTTTTGTAGATTTGGAAGATCCCATTTTATTCTTTTTCTTTAGAGATTAGTTATCCAGGAAAGGATTCCACTTCCTGCAGTGCCAGTAAAATGTTCACCTGCTGATGTGCTTCTGTGGGGTTGTGTCCAACTCTGTCATGATTTCTTCCTTTAGTTGGGCTGGATGACTTGACGTGTGTGTTTTCTGCCACTGGGACCATCACTTTCAATTTGCTAGGTTCAAAACTGTTGTCGCTATCCACTGGCTTTATCCAGAAAAGAAGTTCTCCATGTTTACAGACCCATGTGTGCAGCTTCCAGGGTCAGAGGCACCCTCAGCAGCTCTGGGAGCACTGTGCACAGTGGTGGTTCTTCTTTGGCAAACTTTGTCATCCCTGTGAAAAAAACTGCCTTTGACCCTGCAAAGGAAGAACAAAAATGCTTCGACTGACTAAGGAGTCACAGTTAAAATTTTGGAAACTTCCTTAGCGCAAAAAGTAATTTCCCACTTGACAAATACTTTCCAGTAAGCTCTGTTTTCTGACGACTGCATAAAGGAATGAAAATCTCCCCTACGCATGAAAAGATGCCCAGCATCATTAGTCATTAGGGAAATGCAAATCAAAACCAAAATGAGATACCACTTGACACCCACTAGGATGGTTATAATAGAAAAGACAATAGCACATGTTGGCAAGGATGTAAAAATACTGGAACTCTCCTGTGCTGCTGGCGAGAATGTAAGATGGTGCAGCTGCTTTGGAAAAGTTTGATAGTTCCTCAAAAAGGGAATCATGGAGTCATCCAGTGACCCGGGAATTCCATTCTTCCTAAGATACGGTGATACTTACTCAAGAGAAGTGTAAACATGTGTCTGCACAAAGACTTGGACACAGATGTTCTTGATAGCCCTTTTCATAATAGCCAAAAAATGGAAGCAGCCCGTATGTCCGTCACCTGCTGAATGGATGAGCGCAACGTAGCATATCTCAGCAGTGGAAGGTGACTGTACCATAAAAAGGAGCAAAGAACTGTGCTACCACATGAGGAACCTTGAAAACATTACATTAGGAGAAAGAAGCTGGACATAAAATGACACGTATGATTCCATTTATGTGGGATATCCAGGACATACAAATCCATGGAGAAGGAACGAAGAGTGGTGGTGGCCAGGGCTGGGGGAAAGAAAAACTGGAGAGTACCTGCTACTGTGCATGGGTTTTACTTTGGTGGGGCAGAGAGCAGGACTTTCTGCAATTACAGCATGGCGATCGATGCATATTTCTATACATGTGTCAGGATCCACTAAATTTTACACTTAAAATGAGTGAACTTTATAAAAGTGTGTGAATTACCTCTCAATAAAATTGTTACTTTAAAAAACAAGCTTCCCCTGAATTTGAGCAGGCATGTGGCCTGCATATTACAAGTCACTATTAGATTTGAGAAATATCTACTGTGTGAGTTAGTTGAGTTTCATTGGAAGAATTATTTTGATTTGGCTTGCAGCTTCAGATAGCTCAGAAAGCCTGAGCTATCTCAAAATTTGTAAACACTTGGTTCGTATTGGAAAAAGCAAGAAAATAAAAATGGTTTGCATAGCAGGTAATCTCCATGGAGGAAAACAGAGGTTTACTGATTCTTTTCTGGTGCTCGACTTCCTATCCTGGAGTCCGAGTGTGTTTATAGTAAGCACCACCAAGCAGGAGGTATGCGTGAAAGCACAGGATCTGTTTCACTTTGGGAAGAGAGGTTTTGGGAAAATGACATTCATTTTATTTTGATTGTGGATATTCTCAGTAATTAAAATTTCTTTTTAATTGTCATTGGATCTAAGCTCATTTCTGTTAAGAATTAGAGAAATTATCTATCTGGATGAGATCCAGGATGAACTTGGGTTTTGCTCAGTTCCCATCAATAGCAAGTGTATTTCTTACTCTGGGATGATAGCAAATCATTTATAAATACTTGCCTCCTACTTGCCGCACATCATTCTCCACTCTGCCCATTAAGGTGTGCACTGTCTGTCCTAAATATCCTAAGGAAGTCAAAGGGGAACTCATTCTTAAAGATTTCCTGGGGAAATGAGAATGAGTGGGATGAGTGTGACTGGGTGTCTGGCCTCGTTGCTTGGTGAGAACCTGGTGCTGTGCGGATGCATATCATTTATCTGCTGAGTGAGGGAGCGGGTAGTGGAGCGGTGGGGAGCTCCGCACCTGCTAGTTACTCACACAGAGGGCTGGCCCTGCGGCGTTAGCGGCGCTTCCCCACAGAGCTCCTCATTCTCAGCTACCTGAATTGTCTTCTGGGTCATTTGTCTGTTTTTCCCTTGCTCCTTTTTCCCGTGTTTTGGGTTACCTGAGTAGAGTTGCACTTTAGCTGTGCTGGTACAGGCTCTGGAGCAGGTCTCCCTGTATTGTTAGCTCATCAGTTCCGTTCCAGGGTATTTCGCTTGGCTGTGCATGTTCCTTCATCTGTGCTAAGGGGCCACTGAGAACCCCAGCCTGGGGGACTTGTCGGGATTAAATGATATGAAGCACTTGCCCAACATCCAGAGTGCTTGGTTGGTGCTTTTTGTGGGCCAGCAGTTACACTGACAGCTCCTGTTGCAAGCAAAGAATTTAAAGATGCCTGACACTGTGCTGCCATTTCTTCAGCTATCAGTTGGTGATAACCTTGTTGATTACTGTAACTAGAGGTTATTAGGAGAATCAAAGAATATAAAAATGAGATAATAGATGCAAAGTCCTTAGAACTGTGACTGGCATTTAAGGTAAGCTCTTGACCAATGCCAGCCATTACTAGTGTCCTCTGCTTAGTGGGGAAAATTAGGAGGATCCGTGGCTATGCCATGCGATTGATTCCCCCTGGGTGGGATAAGCCCGATCCTGAGGTCGATTGCACGGCTAGCAACTTGACCGCCCTTCTCTTGCTCTTTCAGCTGCGCAGTTGGACAGCATTGGCTTCAGCATCATCAGGAAGTGCATCCATGCTGTGGAAACCAGAGGTAACGTGGCGCAACAGATGGCATTGTTCTCATGGGAGGTCACACACCTGGTGAGGCGTCAGAACTGCTACCTGCCACTTCTGAGTTTAAGTGACTCACTAACTCCCCGGGTGACGAGGGCCTTTGTTGGCGTGCAGCCCCGGGTCAGGCTGGTCTAGAGCAGCGGTTCTCAAGCGATGATGTGCCATCCCCTTTTCTGACCAATCAGACGAACGTGTTAGATGTTTGCATGTGAAATTCATAGGATTGCAGAAACCAGTCACTGAAATTCATTCATCAGAAGATTCAACAACATCTTTGTGATACAGCTAGTACATGTGTGTGCTGACTCTTCAGCAAGTTAGGGTGGCAGGTCTGATAACGGGTCTACTTTGGAAGTAGTGGTAGTTCAAGATCTGTGACAGCTGTAATGTTATAGGAAAATATGATTTCTGCCCAAGCTGCAGGTACAGCCAACACTGCTGGCATTTGTCCTCCACGTTCACACGGGAAGGAAATGCTTCATGTCAGTTATAGATTAGGAAGAATAGGGATGGGATTGTTTTTCTGATTGGGTTCATAGCCCCTCTGACTCCTCATCAGTGGACGTCTGGGAACTGCACAAGCCCTGGTTGAGAGCTCTAACTCTGGGGAGCTGTCCCTAGGGGGCCATCCAGGTAGCAAGAAGCATTCGAATCTGTGGGAGCCGGACGTTGAGGTCAGCAAAGCTGGTGGGGGCCCCTGGTCCTCACCCTCCCCTCAGGGGCTCTGCCAGGCTCCGTGTTGGTGGTTTGGAGCTTGACTGTGCTGGTTTCCCGTACCCCTGTGGCAAGCTAGCGACTGTCTTTCCGCTGGATTGGGCTTGCACCCGTGCCAGAGATGTGAATCTTATTCTACAGCCTCTCTACCCACCAGACTTTGTATCTCCTTAAAAGAATTCTGTCTTCTGAGGCAGGCTCCATAACTTACCAGTTGGGAAACATAAACTTCTTTATAAAGGACATAAAACATCGAGGAGAGAGAGAGAGGAAAAAAGACACCAGCCAGTCTCACGAGCCTCAACTCCTCTGTATCCTGTTGAAGTTCTTCTTTCCAAAGTCATTGTTTTTATGTAGAGAATAGTTTTCTAAGATATCTTTTTATTTCTGCAAAGCATGTACCTCCCTTCAAGCAAAGAATTAAGGCAACTTGCAAAAAAACATAAAATATATCCAGAGAATATTAAGTACAGGAGCTGAAGTGGCTGCAGGTTGAAGAATGAAGGCAGGATATGTATATCCTTATATAAGGCAGATGGAGTCAGGAGGGCGTTTACACAATGGTGTCATTAAGGTGTAAAATCAGAAACTGGCCAAGTGTCTCAGAAATGGGTTCAATCAACAGTGGTGCACTCCTGCAGTAAAAAACTAGGAGTCACTGAAATTGCCGTGTAAATGGGTTTTCTGGGATGTGACGTTTTCTTTATTAGGTGCATGACAAATGTGGGTTGCAGAGCAGTCGTTCTGTATCTGAACCCCGTGTGGAAGCGGTGGGCAGAGGGGAGCACCTGGGCACAGGTGTCACTGTGTTTCAGTGGCTCCCTCTGCTCATTTTTACTGTCTGCCTTTCATTTATCTATTTCTCATAACGGTAGTCTCTAGATATTTTTGAAGTTTATGCTCCTGAGATAATTTTTCAAGAGCAGTTTTATTTTTCATTGTAAAAGAAACGAGGGAGTTTGACAGGTAGATGGTTAACAAAGGTGGAGGCATAAAAATAGAACCAAAAGTAGGTCCAGAACAAACATCCCCTACCTCCCACGAAGGCCATGTACTTGGCAGAGGTGGGCCACCTGTTTGTTTCAATACCCAGCAGCCGAAACCAAGAGGGAAACCTCCTAATTTTAAACTGTTGACAGAGACTGGGATAAAGGCGAACCAGGAGCCCAGCAGGGCTACTTGCTCTGAGTAGGACTAGAAAGGTATGTGACAAACAGAAGAGGATCTCCTAGCCCCTGCCTTCTTGTTCCCTCCATCCTCCAAAAACAGAGACGCAAGTGCTGTGTTGTCACTTCTAAGGACGGTTGCATTGAGCACCAAGTGTGAGGTAGATACTGTTTCAGCCTAGATAATGGAAGGATGGGCACATTGCTCCACTGCGGTGCCTGGGTGAGCAAGCATCCTGTGCGCTATGGGATTCATCAGTGGGTTCCAGTGGAGCAGGGATTGGTCACGTCTCAGGAAAACACAGGATAAAGGGAGTAGAGGCTCTTTGAACCTTTGCAGCCCTTGACACATGACTGAATCAGAGCTTTGCCACAGAGTAAGTTGGGACCCATCCCTTAGCTTTTGGCTGAGGGCTCCAAGTTCATAGCCATGCAGGGTGATGAATATGATGTAGGCGTTTTTTTCAGTTATAAAATCCATCCATTCCAGACCATTTCCCCCTGGTCATTAATTCCACTTCACTATAGCTGTGGTTGAAGACAGGGGCAGAGTCAGCTTTTTCTTGAATTTCTGCCAGAAAAATGTGTTTTGGCCCCCAAGTATTTTAGAGTGGCCTTGGAAGAAGATATCCCAGTGTTTTGTTCAGTGTCATGTGCATTATGATCACCTATGGCTCGGTACATAAACATGAACAATTGCAGTCCTCACACTTGCATTCTAGTTGTGGGGAGAAAGACAAATGAAGAACCAGATGAGACAGACAACTTCAGGTATTGTTGACTGCTACAGATTGGCGCTGGTTGTAGAATGGGTTAGATGGGAGAGGATGCATTTGAGCTAAGACCTGCATGATGAAAAGACCAGCGAGAAGAGTGGTCAGGTAGGGCCAACAGTGGGGGGCCTGTGAGCCTGGTGTGAGCCCAGTGTGCAGGTGGTGGATGATGGGGTTCGAGTGGGACTGTGCTCCCTAGTGCAGGCCAGAGTGGGGAACCCATTTTCTGCCAGGGGCCATTTGGATATTTATAAAAATACAAAAATTATCCATCTGAAAATTAGCCTGCTATAGATTGTTGGAAGTTAAGTGCCACCTGCAGTTGCCTTGGCAGGGCCAGACCAGATGATTATGTGGGTCTTAGGTAGCCTGTGGGGCCTGCAGCCTCCCACCCTGGTACAGGCTGTGTGGGCTACCATTAGGAGTTTTGGTGTGGTCTAAATGCAGCAGGACACCATTGGAAGGTTTTAAGAGGCGATGCGAACTCTTTTACACATGAAGAATTCGCTTTGTTCATTGGAAAGTGGTTATCAGGGAGTAAGACAGGATGTAGGAGACCTGTTACTTGAGAGGCGTCAGATAGGATGGGCCTGGAGCTAACAGGAGAAAAATCCTTCCAAATCACTTGGTTTCCATGGCCCTCTTTTGTCAGTGGCACAGTGGTGACCTAATTCGTGCCTTCGAGTGAACAGAAGTACTGCAGCGGATTCGTTGTTGGTTCTTTATTCAGTGTTTGAAAGCAAACCTCTTCTGGGCCTGTCGCACAGTTCCCTGGCCTGCTGATGGTCGTCTTCTCTTGCCTCTATAAAATGTATTTATTTTACCAGGGAATGGATATTCTAATTTCTCTGGCTCCACTACCGTTCCTTACAGCTAAACCTGTCTTCCACCTCAATGTGGTCATCCTTTGTGTAAAAATAAGTTGTGAAGTGTTTGTCCCTTCTGTTGTCTGATGTGTTCATCATGCCGTTTTTGGCTTTTTAAGTTAAAACTTTGGCTAAGTGTGACATGCTTGAAAGTTTGTTTCACATCTCCCAAAAGTCCTCAGATGCCGCCCTTGGCAAGAGAAGAGGAAAGTTTCTCTCCCTCCGATGACTGAGCTAACGCGAGGGCTGCAGTGTGCAGCACACCCGTGAAATCCCAGACAGCTGCACCAAATCCCACTCCTTTGCTCCGGGCTGAGCTGAGTGACAGGGGACTTTAATTAGAGCAGCTTTTAGAAGGAACAGCAACTGAAACAGGGAAAAAGGCGCGTTTGGCTGGGTTGCCCGACTCGTCTTCTGCCGTGCCTCTAACTGAATCCTCGCTGTTTCTCTTCTCAGGGATCAATGAGCAAGGGCTCTACCGAATCGTGGGGGTCAACTCCAGAGTGCAGAAGTTGCTTAGTGTCCTGATGGGTGAGTGCAGCAGCGGCTCGGACAGCCAGGCCCCTGGGGGCACCTGCTTGGACAAGCCACCCCGTCTGTGAGTTGGGATGGCCTCCGGCAAGGAATCGGGCTATCCGAGAGCCGACACCCAGAAAGCAGCCCTCCTCTTTGTCATTGTCACGACTGCAGGCATTACTGGAAAAGGTTCCAAGTGGGATTGGACAAAATAAAAAATGCCAGGCCCAACGCACCACACCCTCCGTTTTTGGAGCCTCGGCCACTGCCAGTTCAAGTGGCACGTGGTCGCTCCTGTGACTGCCACACCCTGCTCTGTCTTTAGTGGCTCATGACTCCCTCTGTCCTCTTTTGGGACAGGTATTTAGTAGGACACACCCAGTGCCCAAGGAAGGGTATTATTCTAGCTTACAGAGGCCTTCACAGCTCACGTTGCCTTTCCTGAGAAGGTGTCATATAACTCCCAGATAAAAATGTATACAAGCAGATCGGTCTGAGGATCCTCTTTGCTTCTAGGTTTCAACCTAGTCTCTGTGACTTGAGAACCTCCCTTGCCACTGGCTGATACAAACATAAAACCACTATCTCCCAATGGGCGGTATTCAGATCGGAAACCCAGGAGCCCAGGAGCCAATTTTGCTTAGGCTGCAGATTTCTGGTATTTTTAGATATGAGTGCAGCCAGCCTCAGTGAGTCACATGGATCCAAATGGCAGACGGATCAGATTTCACAGATTGGTGGCTGTTAGTCATCCCCATGGAAACCCAGGCCGTGCCCTTGTAAGGATGCGTGATCGCTTGGAGCGGCAGCTCAGTGCTCTGGGCTGGGACAATTCTCTTGTCATTTCCTTTGCCATCCCAGTGGATATGAAGAAATCTCGTGTTCCCCAAAATCGCTTTCTTTAAGACCATTTTTTTGAGAGCTACTCACCTCGTTGGAGCAAAACCTATTGTTTGAAACGATGATCATCTGTGTGGTGCTCTAGTGCTGAGTATCCATTGTTCGATTCAGATTTGTTTGAAAATTGAACTTTTTTATTTTGAGATAATTGTAGAGGTCCACATGCGATTCCAGACAATAATACACAGGGATCCTGTGTACTTTGCAGTGGCTAACATCAGCATCCCAGCCAGGAGATTGACACCGGTGTAGTCAGGGCACAGAGAGCCCTTGTGATGCCCTGGTATGGCTACACTCATCTGCCTTGCCCCCCACCTTACACCCCATTCCTAATAGCAACCAGTAATTGTTCTTCATTTCTGTAGTCTTGTTATTTGAAGTTTGTTATAGAAGCAGAGTCATAAAGTATGTAACCTTTGGGGATTGACTTTCTTTTATAGTCAGTGTTCAAGGTTTGCATGTATCAGTAAGTTGTCCTTTGCAGTCGCTGGGTAAGTATTCCACTGGATGGACATACCACAGTGTGGACCACCCTTCATCCTTGGAAGGACGTCTCAGTGTTTCCCATCTGGGGCTATTCCAGATAAAGCTGCTACAGTGCACAATGTTTGTACCTGGGTTTCTGTGTGAGCATAAATTGTTCCTCTGGGATAAATGCCCAGAGTGTAATTGCCGGGACTTATGGTGATCTGGTGAATTTTTGAAAAATTCTGACAGGTATCCAGCTTCAGTCTTTCGTTTCTGACCAGAGCTGCAAGCATCTGTCGAATGTCTGCTCTCTGGAACAGATGATTGGGTATTAGAGACTAAACTTTAGAAAGAGCCAGTTCTTTTCCACGAAATTCTATTAAGGCCAGATCTGTGTGCCTGTAATGTAAAATGCAATATTAGCATTTGATCATTCAGTCTGAGCTGCGTCTGGAAGACTGCGCAGTGATGGAGACAGTGGGAGAGTAATTCAGACCCAGAAAGTCTCATCACAGGGGCATCCAGGACTGAATAAGGTCTCTGGTGCATCTAGCAGAGGGCATTCAGCCTGTGATAATTATTATTATTTTTAAAAATATTTATTTGAAAGGCAGAGTTACAGAGAGGCAGAGAGAGAAAGTGAGGTCTGCGATGCGCTGGTTCACTCTCCAGATGGCTGCAATGGCCAGAGCTGGGTCAATCTGAGGCCTGGAGCCAGGAACTTCCTCAGGTCTCCCATGTGGGCGCAGGGGCCCAAGGACTTGGGCCATTTTCTGCTTTCTCAGGCCATAGCAGAGAGCTGGATTGGAAGTGGAGCAGCTGGGACAAGAAGCAGTGCCCATATGGGATGCCGGCATTGCAGGTGGTGGCTTTGCCCTCTACTCCACAGTGCAGGCCCCGTGTGATCATCATTATTTTAACATTAGAAAAACCACTTGGGTCTGAGACAGGAGAGTTACAGCTGAAAAGTTAAGGTGGTCTCTTTTGTTAAGAACCTGAGGGCCGGCGCCACGGCTCACTAGGCTAATCCTCCGCCTGCGTCACCGGTACTCCAGGTTCTAGTCCTGGTTGGGGCACCAGTTCTGTCCCGGTTGCCCCTCTTCCAGTCCAGCTCTCTGCTGTGGTCCGGGAAGGCAGAGGAGGATGGCCCAGGTCCTTGGGCCCTGCACCCACGTGGGAGACCAGGAGAAGCACCTGGCTCCTGGCTTCGGATCAGTGCAGTGCTGGCCATAGTGACCATTTTGGGGGTGAACCAATGGAAGGAAGATCTTTCTCTCTCTCACTGTCTCTTTCTGTCAAATAAATAAATAAATAAACAAACAAAAACAAAAAACAAAACCTGAGGATTATATTGAAGAAGTTTTGGGAGTTTTTTTTCTACAGGAAGTAAGCTGTTAAAAAGTTTTAAGTACTGGAATTTCATGTGTTTCGTGTGTTTTTTACACACAGAAATGCATGCAGAATTGTTTGGAGGAGAAAAAAATGGATTTCTTTGCTCCCCTGACTGGTAAATCCAAGGTGGCAGAAGCGTGGCAGGTGTGGGGCTGTGGTGACTTCTTTACATTGGTTTGAGCTGTTCCTGACCCTTCCCTTGAGCTCATCGTTGTCCGTAACCTCTCCTGATCTCAGTAGTGGCTTTATTCGTGACGGGAGTGTCCCAGATAGATCCAGCCTCAGCAGCTCTTAGCGCCTGTGATCGCTGAAGAGAGAGTGCCTTTCTTGAGAGCTTTGGCAGAAGATCCCAGGGATGACTTCGATGGGCCAGCATGGGGCCACTCACATGATTCATTTCTCAGTCTCAGCTGGTCACATGTTCGGCAGCACATGGATCCAGCTGGCCTGGATCCCAGGCTTGTCTCTAGGGTTGGGGGTTACTGGATGCAAAGGGGCGGAGTGGAGCTGGGGTTAGTCCATGGAACCCCATGGTCTGAGCCAGGTTATTAATAGAATCATGGAGGAGTGCTCTCCTGCCGGTGGGTGAAACGAAGAAGTCTATTCAACGCGGGTATACTGAGATCGGATCCTGGCTTTAGGAGATTGACCCGGCAGCAGGGTGGAGCGTGGTTTTGATCACCAAAGACACTGAGGAAGAAGACAGTTACAACAGATGAGGCATGGCATTCCCTGTGAAGGGCTGAACCCAACTGCTCCAAGATCAGGATGAAGAAAGGCCAGGCTCCAGAATGACTGTAGAGAGGGAGGTGCAGGACTTTGTAACCACCTGGATGTGGGGGAGCAGAAGGGGCAGAGAGATTTCAGAGATGACAGATTATTATGTAAGGTGACACTGATGAACAGAAATCTGACATGTTAGGTTGCTTTGCCAATCTAAAAAAGAACTGCCTTAGCTCGTTTGTGCTGAACAAAAAAGTGGCTCTGAAATGATCTTGCTTTTATCACTGCACTCAGTGGCTCTCAAACCAACATAGTTGCCGTATTGTCTGCCTCAGTTTTCCTAAGCAAAGACAAAATAATCATGAACATCTGAGATGTGTTAGGAAAATGTAGTAACTCAGAGCGGTAAGTCACAAGGCCAGCCGCCTCGGCCAGGAGGACGTTGCCGATAGACTAGAATCCAAACTGTGATTCAACCAGAGCTGAGATGTCCACAGCGGAAATCTAACTCCAAGTTCAGAATGGTACTGGCGACTCAACCCTGCCAGTTAAGTTCAACAGTGAAGGCAGCAGTTGAGAAACCCCCGTTAGGCTGGGGCTGCAGACCCGAGGGGGGGGGAGCTCTGTCTGCCTTCCCTCCAGTGGACGTTGTTTCATCTTCATCCGCTCTTGGTGGTCGTCATGTCTGAGCTAGCCAAGAGGGCAAAGCATTTATGGCATCTGATTCCAGAAGGTTCCCTGGGGTGGCCGGGCTGACTGTGGACCTTTCACTCACCGTTCTCTTATTCTATGTTTGTTGGCTGCCTGTTTTGTGCCATGCATCATGTAGGATTTGGCTTATTTGTCCAAGGCTCCCAAAAATGGGATAGTATGTTTTGATTATTGAAAGCATAGCTTAGAGTTAAGTAAAACCAGAGACTTCCTTTGATCACTTGGAGATTATTTTTAGGACTTGATCCATTGGGGGACTGTAGACTGGAAGAGGAGCATGAGAGCTAGTGCTTTGAAAATGACTTCTTCCTTAAGAAACCTTGCTAAAATTCCCTGCCAGCTTTGTGCTGGTATTATACCAAGGGCTACACTTGATGTCTTTCTCCCAGCAACAAAGGTATCTTTGGAGAGTGAAAAGGACCCAGGAAAACCTGCAGGTTCTTAAAAGTAGAATATCTTCTGTGTGTGGCCTGGGCCCTCTGTTGCCCTGGCTCCTTAGTGTTGAATGAAGACAGAACTTTCCACATTAAACATGTGTGTGTGTGTTTGCATGCATGTGTTTGTATGTGTATGTCAGCTATATGCTTTTTCAGTGCAGGTCTGTTTGTCTTCTTGTCTCTTTATATATTATTTTATATAAACTTTAAAAATACTTCATTTTAGTTGAAAGGCAGAGGAAGACAAACATAGACCATCCATTTCTCATATATATTTTATATTTTTGTTTTGTTTTTTAAGATTTATTTTATTTATTTGAAAGGCAGAGTTACAGAGAGGCAGAGGCAGAGAAAGGTCTTCCATCTGCTGGTTCACTCCCCAGA